AGGAGTTGGCTGGCTGCTAACAGCTCTGCTTTTATGCATTATTGCAGGCCACTGCAGAACTTACACAGAGAAACAGCCTCTGTAACTGGCACAAGCTGTGTGAACAAGCGTGGTTTTGCAGGATGACAACCCTGTGTCTTTGGAAGCACTCAAGAACACTGGCTTTATGGTGTGTAAGAAACGAGATTTCTTGGAGCTCTGCAAAGCTTAGACTCAGTATGTAGAATGATTATTCACGACCAGGGATATTTCAGTGTTAGTTTTCATCAGTCAAACTAAGCATTGCTTTCTACCCTCACTCACATCACTTGGTGTAAGACTTTCACGCCACGAGAGGCAGCACAAAGCGTCGTAACAGGGTGTACATGTTGGGGCTCATTCTGACTCTGCTGCTCTGCTGGATTACCAAACAAGCGCCCAACCCACTCTTACCTGTTTGTCATCCTTCATCTTTTGAAAAGCAGGCTCTGCCTCCAGGCACACAAGATAAAGGCAAACCTCCTCCCCCCCCCAAAAAAAGTGAAGGTTTTTTTGGTTCCTTTTGTTCCTCAAAGGTCTGACAACAAACCAAGGCTCCACAGTGGGAGCTTGGAGACCCTAGATTCACATTTTGTTATTACTTTAGTACCTTAATGGCAATACTAGGCTAGTATCAGTGTCTAGCACAGCTCAGTCTTGAATCTCTAGTGTGCCAGATTTCCAGTGTCCTGAAAACAGGGAGAAATGAGGGATGGCCTGGCTTTTCCAAACCATTGTGCAAAGTTACTCTGTATCTGCACTTAAACTGTTACTCCTTGTTGCTTGTGTTTCTTCACATTAGGATGCCACAGGACTCTACAAATTGAGACATTACAGCATAGACTGAGATGCTAAATCCCAACTGTTTCTTCCTTTTTTTTTTTTTTTTTTTTTTTTTAACAGTAGTGTTGTCTAAATCAAGGTGGCAGTGGGGGAGTTGACCAACGTCTTATACCATCAGCCACACTAGTGGAAAACACATGCTATTACCATTTCATTTTCTAATATCGATTACTTCAGTACCGACCAAAAGAAGCTTCACTTAGAGTGCAAACTCTTAGCCTTTACTAGGTGTTGGCAGTAAGTATTAGAGGACTGCTGTCCTGATAACCCTGCATTTGTGCTTTTCAACTTCGTGCCAGAAGCTCCTCAAGTCCCACCACTCAACCTTACACCAGCATAAGGCAGCACTGCCCCTGAACTGAGTATCCCACCTTTTGCCTTGCTCAAGCCCCCATGGTCAGACAGCTTCTGATGCAGATTCATACTACAGCTGATAAAAAAAAACCCTCAAACTCACCAGCCAAGTGGAGATGACACATATTACAAGTAAAATCCTTCAGTTTCAGATTTTGAGTTTTATATTCTAAGAACCAACAAGTCCCCTTTCCAGAATTAATCACACATAATTTTTAGCTTTAAGAGAAGAGGCTATTATATATCAGGTTAATATGAAGCAATCAAGATACACCATTAGTTTTCAGACCTCCTTGTTTGGTTTTTTTTTTTATCTAGTTCACTTAAGAGAAGACTATGGAAATACCTGGAGATTTTTCCTGCGGAATGAGTTCTATCTCTTGGAAGAATTGGGCCACAGCAACACCATCATCTGCTGGACAAAATTGGCTCCCTGTCTCACACAGCACTGTGTGTTGAAAAGCAGCTGGGGAGAAGGTGGGAGTAGTGCATGAAAGGTTATTTGCACATTCTACCACCCCGACCGGGAGAGCTGCCCAGAGCTCCTGCTCCATTAGAAGAGACGAGCTGCAGGTAGAGAGACATAACAGGCATGCTTACACTGCACACAAAACTGGCAACCTCCAACAAAGCAATTGCTGCAGAGCAAGCAGAAGGCTTAGCCTCTGATCAAGAAAATGGGGGGCTATGTACGAGACCTAACTGCTCCACCACATGGAATAGACTCAAGTATATTTTAGTCACTTTATTGTATCTATATACATTACATTTTGATTCTCCAAGTAGTCAAGGCAGTTATTCTCAAATAGTTTAGTACATCGATTTTATAAAATACAGCTGAACCAAAGTAGATTAGAAATACATACATTATGGTACATTAAGTGCTTTGAACAATGATTAGTCTGGCCACCTGCTAGTGAGCGAGCGATTCTCTTGGTTTTGGTCATTCTCACAGAGGAGAGTCTGCTCCACAGATACTCCCCTGCACCCAGCAGAGCTACTTAACCAGCAAGAGTCCCTCATGTGCTTTTGGGGGACAGAATGCATCACTGAGCCACTACAAGGCATTCTGCTGTCTACACGATGACTCAAAGCAAGTCATCGCTTCTGACTGGGACAAGATTTAGACATTGGTCACAAGGCCTCAGATCAAAACAACAAAAGAGAAAGAGCTAGTGTAGCTCTGAAAAAATGCAGTCATCTTGTTTGCAACTGGGATTTGCTTACACACCTATATGCTAAACCTGTGTTATAAAGAAATAATTAAAAAAAAAAAATCCCTGTAATCAAAGGTCAATGTAATACCTAGGCTGTTCCCCTAGGACATCCTTAGGCATGCTGCCGGGACACAGACCTGACATGGCCCCACAAGGAGCTCTCTCAAAGATCTCTTCTGCATGAAGTATTGCTCCCCTTTTGAGAAAGTCAGCTTTGTAGCAAGTGAAACGCCAGGACAATTCTTATTCTGAAAAGGGAACGTTTGAGGAGATCTGTTCAACTTCTGGGATTTGAACAAGAAATGCTTACAGCTTTATGTCACATGGCAGCCAAAGATGTCCCAATTCCAGTTGACACTGCAGCTACTGTGTTACCCATGACTAGTAGTTTGCTATTTACTGCAGACTGAGCAGGACTAGTCTATCAGCCACATCCTGACCCAAAGTTAGCTGTTGATGCCAGCTCAAGATCACTCCTGCAAATCTCTCCAATTGCTATAACTTCAGCTTAGGAAGGTCACAATTCACACACCTGGGCTCTGTGCTCACAGGCTGCAAAACAGCTGGCCAGTGGAAAGTTCTCACTTTTACAGCACTGAGGGTCCCATGCTGTCACGTAGAAGGAAACATTAGCTACAGTCAGATGATCGTGTCGCTTATAGAGCCAGCTGCTTGGGACTCAAAGACAAGCAGAACAGAGCAGCCACACATCACTGGATTAAGGATTACTGATGACAAGACAGCGCTAGCAGATTACAGCTCTACATTAGCCTAGTGCAGATGCCATGACACTGCTCATATTCATGCTCCATCAACCAATCTACATACTGACAAAGGTGGAAGCAAACATAACCAGCTGCTGTTGGGTGACCTTAGCTGGTCAGGCAAGTCAAGTTTCTTCCTTGTAAACTTTGGAAGGGGAAGGAGGAAGAACACATGTAAACTTCAACTGAGACTGGAACAGATTCAGGCTGCATGGTACGCTCTTTCACATTCATGGACCAAGACAGAAGGTAGAAGCCACAAAACTGAGACTAGCATTGAGCTGATGGACTGGTTGGTTCCGCATTACACAAGGCCCCACACACAGCTAGCCACCCTGGGAGTACATTTCAACACAGGAGGCAAGATGTGTCCCAGAGGTGGTCAGCTGTACCTGACGCACTGTGTTGGACCGAAAGGGTTCTGGGCAAAAGGAAGCAAGAAGTACTCTGTCAACTTCCCACAGCACACATCGCTGCAGCCTTCAACACTGCACCCTCAGAAACAATGACTGTATTGTACAGAGGAAGATAGAATACTTTCATTTCTGCTACTTCAAAGTCAGCATCTTTGCTCATCCTCCAGTAGAGCTTTGCAATGGGTTGGAGAAGACTTCTTCCAACCCAAATAACTGTTGCCTCCTGGCAGCTCAGACCTGAGCTGCACTGGCTGTTTTTAGAAACAACAGTTCAACTCTCACTGCTGGCATTTTCTTTTCTCAGTGTTGCCCAGCTGTCACTCCTGAACAGAGCGACCACCATCTGCTGCAGAAGAAAATACTTAACACAGAAGTAGTGAACAAAATGCACATTTCAATCCATAGTTACAGTGAAGATGGTATTATGAGGCAACTGGTCAGAACAAGCAAGTGGTCATACAGAGCTATACCATCCCAGACTCCACGTTTGTTTCAAGTCCCTCCATCAGAGACTGGAAGTCAAAGGACAGTATTCTCACCTCTCAAACTCATAAAACCCTCTCTTATTTACTGGCCTATATTATAATGAAGCTAAAAAGTAAACTCATCACCTACAAAACCAGGTAAAAGTTAATAAAAATGGGAAGAAGTGCTTATTGTCATAACATAGAGATTCACAAATCTCTGCACATCTTATCCATCATACAAGATACCTATTAGTTCAGGTTTTTCTTTTTACAGAAGTTTACTACATTCATCTCAGTGGTGCAAAAAAAAAAAAAATCTAATACTGCTGAAGAGACAGTTTTTCCATTGGGACTGCACAGTGTGATGAGATCTGGATGCTCATTCTCATCAGCATGTCATAAATACAAGAAAAACATTCTCCTGGCAAAGTTTCACCATGAGGTAAATGCATTGTTTGAAAGTCCTGGGGAGCTGAAATGGATTTGAAGTGATCTGCCAGGGAGTGATGGTTTCATTAATGAGAAAGTTGTCACTCTAAGGTAGTATGCTTCATTTTGTCTAGCAACTTGGTGCCTTCTGCTAAGGAAAGGGTTAATCAGCTTCATTACTATAATTATTCAAGTCTTGTTAAAATAAAGAGTGTATCTTTTTAGTTACCTCTTTCCAGGGATTTGGGCAACATTCAGATCGAAGTACTGTTTAGGATTGAAGGGATATGTTTTGGTTTTTGCAGTGTGCTGATGACTGACAACCCATTTTTATGGGATTCTGCTAAAATGAAATTATGACAGATAAAGACAGACTTGTACTGCAGTAATATAACTTAAAATATGTAGTGATACGGCATTATAGCTGTGGAGCTGCCTTTTAAAGAAAAAAAATACTGTTTACAAAACCCAGGAAAAAATTGAAGCTACAGAGCATAAGCAGGACAAGTTATTCATGGATCCTAGACAGGTCAACTACAGATCACTGCAACAACAGCAGAACTCAGGAATTAACTTCATTCTTCTCTCACCCACCCACACACAGCAGGGGGGTTTATTTCACATTTGCAGTACCACACATCCACTACAGAAACATGAGCTGCTCATACTCAACACCACTTCGGCAGTGCAAGACTTAAAGAGATCACGTAGTTCGACACCATCATGAACTGGATAGTATGTTTCAGTGCTCTTACATGGAGATAGTATCACCTTCCCTACTGACAGAGGGAATGTCTCTAATCAATGCTGTTCAGTGGTACCTTACAGCTTAGATCCTTGGTGAGGCTGCTTCGCTAATCAGCCTCCAGGAGAGGATTAAAGTGCAACAAGCAGATTTCACACTTCACATGATGATGCACATGGTCAGTGTAGACATGGAACTGAAATCCTCTTGCTTACTGCTGGACAGACCACAGAAAAAGAGTGGCCTATAATGTCATTGTCCTCTTGTGCTTTCCCAATATGGGCTTTAGCTTAGCAATTCAGGCCCAGTCCTGTCCAATGGTCTGGCACCATCAGGAAATACTTGTCCATAGCTTCACAAAACCTGGTCCGGTACAGTTCTGGAGAGACCACAGTTGGCATCTTACCTAATGTGTAAGAGTCAAGAGCAGTTAGAAATGGACTAAAGAGTATACTACAGTACAGACAGATGTCACATGAGATTACAACACCAGACAGCATAATCATGAAGGCATACTATACAAGGAAGGGTCTTGGAACCAACAAGCATTATCAGCTGCCTTTTTTTTTTTTTTTTTTTTAATTTTTAGTTTAATATTTAGGAGAAGACAGATCAAGGTCTGGACCCCTAACACTGAGATACCTGAAGTTGGAGGAACCATCTAAGCTTTTTACATCAGCCCTGATCAGTTTGTTTCTTTTTCTCTTCTCCTGTTTACAAGTCTTTGAGGTTTTCCTAGCAGAGACGCAAATTTCTCACATGAAGAATTTCACTCTTTGGACATGCTCTTATCTTCTCTAGACACTTGAGCAGCACTACATCAAGTGTTCTCCTTCCCTTCTCTTTCCAGCCCTCCTACTAACATGTGGCCAACACTAGGCAATGCTGCACAAAAGGTACTGTACTCACTTCCACAAAGCGAAGTCCTCAGCTGCTCAAAACATAGGCAGAAATCATTTGACAAGGATTCCTCCACCCTAATAGCTCAGAGTATATCTGGTTTTCTAGACTCTCAAAACATCTTCTGAAATCAGGCAGCAAGTTTTTTTTTTTTTTTGCTAGTATCTCTGTATGGATGACTAAGTTTGCATGTGAGTAGTTGGTAACTAAGAAACAGAAAGGAACAGTCTGATAAGTAGATTATTATTATATTATTATTATTCCTTTACTCCATTCCCAGGAATTAATAGTACTTAAAAGATCACTCATGGAGGTAGATCAATCTATTAATCTTTCTGAAACTTGTTATTCCTTTCCCTGTTCTGGACAACTCAATCTAGTGTTGCAAATCTGCATGGTGGGGAAGTTGTGGCTTTATTAGCACAGTTAATAGTGGAAGCTTCCAGGTAACAAGGAAACATGATCAAAAGTTTTGCTTTCATTCTGGGCTTACCTTGTCCTCCCAAGATGCCAGTCGACTTCACCACCATTTCAAGCTTTTTGTCCCAGGTAAAAGTGCGAATGTAGTCTATTGCAATAAAAAAAAAAAAAATTCCACACACAAACATGTCATATCTGTTAGAACCCAAGTAACAGTGTTCTAAAACTTATCTACGTCCCCTCAAAAAGGGCAAGAAAGCACTAGGCTTCCATAGCCAAAACTTCAGCGTTCCTCCTACCAGTTGCCTCATTCTGTGGAGTATTCATTGTATTTGGATAGGGTGAATGCAATATCTCAAAAAGCCCAGCAAGATCACAATCAACTCTTCCTGCCTCTACAAAAACAGACTGCCCAGGCCTCTCTGTCTGTATCCATGTTAGAATTTCAAGGGCTCAGTTAGCTTGAATTTAGCTCATAAGAGTCACTTAGCTGATCCTCATCCCAGAAACATATCAAGAAGCCCCACTTTGCCATAACAGCTCCCACTACTTTACTGCAACAGCTATCAGCATCAAGACTTGGACAGCTATCCATTTAAGCCAGTAGTATTCCTCATCATTGCAGCCACCTACAGGTTTGATAACAGAAAGCAAACACTTTTCACTTCATGATATGGAGGACTGGAAACACCATCAGTGACCCTGATGGGAAGAGAGGGCTGCAAGAAGACTTCAGAACTGTTTCCAAGCCCCTTTCAGAGAGAGCATGCTCAGTCACTAGAGGCACATGAACATCTTTGTCTGCAAAGCTGAAGCTGCAGTAAGTTAATGAAATCCAGTAATGAAAAACATATCTCCTAACATTTGACTACAATTGTAATTACAGTTGTACAAAAAACTAGTCTACAAAACTAGAAAGTAATAAAAACTTGCATTTCTTTGTAGCTGGGACTTCAATTCTCAACGGGAAGTGTTACTGGAATGGCTTTCAAGCTTTATCAGGAAAAGAGTAATCCAGACCTCCTGGCTTGAGATCTCATCTGGAAGCATTTCTGAGCTAGGTTTCAAGACCACCTCATTTCCAAGAGTCACTTCTACATCCTGCAATATGGCTTCATCTCCAAGTCTTTTGCACAATACAAGTTTGCCTGTTTAAAGATGAGGCTGTACTTTCCAGTCACAAGTCAGAGGATGTGGCAAGGTAATTACTGCGCTGCCACCCATATTATCCAGGTCAGACTACATGATCACAAGTGATCCCCTGACATTCAACTTCCGTCCTCCATCTCTACCAATATCGTTTCTCTTTAGATCCCCTCCACACAGGTTAAAATTTAAATGGCTATGTAAACATTACTAACTTAAAGATTAAATACATAAAAGCATACAACTAACCTTCCCTACTTCAACTGGAGTCAAAGTTTAGGTTAAACACCAACTTGACTGCTTTTTCACTACTTGTCAGGCCTCCTGTGTATATTCTTAGTAATGCAAATGTTAACGCAAGCCCACACAAGAACTGGGGAGAAAACTTCCTGCCTCCACTTTTGACGACGCATGAGAGGTGAGAGTGGTATTCCATCAGGGAGAAGACAAGCTTGCCTGACACACCTCTGTGGTGGTACAGTTCTAAGTTCCATAAACACCTAAACCAGAAGAGCAAGAAGATACAGAAGACGACCTACCAATGATCCCAACAACCAGCTCATTGTTGGTATCATCACGACCCACCAGCAGGGAATAGTCAATGATGAGGTGGCTGGAGAGGAACTGAGAATCACTGTGTATGGAAGCTCTCAGCACAGCCTTGCAATGAGAACGGATGTACAAAGGATTGTCCCGGACCATCTTCAGAAGGTTCTCATCCAGCAGTACTACATCACAGCTTTCCTTTCCTGTGTCTGTTTTAACATTTCTATTCCGGAGGGAGCCCTTCAGGTCAAAAACCTGCAAAAGGAGAACAGCACTACTTTGTTCCATTGTTCTGCAAGGTTAAAGATTTCAACATACCTAAATGCAGTGTTTGAGAAGGCAGCACAGCAGGACAACTCTTTCCTTCTCTGCAGGAGGAAGACCATTAACAAAAAACATTTTTGTACTACAAAAATTAAAGTTTCCTGAGTGGAGAGCAGCATGTAAGCCTACATGAAAGCTCTGCCACCTCAATTCACAAATTTTAGGCAAGTTATTTCATTAATATTTAGCCTAATTTAAGGGAAAAAGGGTGTCCCTATTTTTATATTGTATGGGTAAGCTCAGTTTTCCAGCCAGCTTCTACAGATTTTGAATCTGCTGTCAAAAGTAAAGCCACTGAAGAGGGAAGTGGGTCTTGCACAAACGACTGCTTAACATCTGTTGGCAAGGCAGGAGACAGAGTATTATTAGGATGGAAAGGATCTCTGGAGGTCTCCAGTCCAATGCCCTGCTTGAAGCAGGTCCTGTTAGAGAAGGTTGTTCAAGCCCTGTCCAGTCAAGATTTGACTAACTTCAGGGCTAGAGTCCACAGTCTCTTTGGGTCTCTGTTCTAGTGCCTGACCACACTCAAGATTTAAACAAAAAGCAAACAGACAAACAAAAAGAAAACCCACAACGACATCCTTTACGTCTATCTAGAATTCCCTCAGTTCACTTCCTCCCACAAACACCCCCTGTTTGAGATCTGACACCAGAAGGGAAGGTGAAGAGAATTGATACTATCTAGTTTTAGAAGCAACATTTGTTTGAACTTCCTTTTCAGCATCAACTCTGTATTTGAAGTGAATTTTTCCCCAGGCATTTTAAGGTCTTTATTCTACCACCTCATAAAGGTCTCTTTTCCTTTACTAAGAGCAAGACTGAATTCAAAATCTTGTCCACACATGAAGTGGTTCAGGGAGAGGACAGAGGGTTCAAAACATTGTTAGTTTCCCTGCCACTACACAGTAGCTCACCACCTCCGTCAGTGAGGCTTACCTTCTAAACAAATTAGTCTGTAATCCCAGTTGGTTCTTCTAAAAGCTCTGAAAAAGGTTTCAGATTTTCCTAATAAGGTTAGCAATGCTTTCTCTCAGACACCAGAGATGCATGGACAAATAAGTCTTCTAAAAACTGAAGCCTGCACTACAGCTATCTGAACTAGCCAGTACAGGCATCAAGTTCCTGAGGATCAAGTTTTTCCATGAGGAAACAGGCAGGAACTGTCACCTTTGAGCATTGCTAGATACAGACAGCATATGCAAAGTTAAAAGTTGCCTAGACAGCTACTGGTAACCCTGCTCTTACTCCCAGAACTGCAAGGGAACAGCTGGCTCTTACCTGAGCCATTTTCCTGCCGTAGAAAAGGTTCTCCATGACAAGCAGATCCAGCTTCTTTTCAGTGTTGTTTTGAGAGTTCTTGTATCCAATTCTATAAACCCCAAGGATTTTGGCCAGTGCTGTGGGCTTCTGATGAAGAGAAGACATGGGATAAGATCTCTGTGTACAGGCAATCAGCAATCAAATTCTAGAGGCACCACTATTCTGTCTGTGTATTACAGTTGAGAAGCTCTCGCAAAATTCCCACTTTTCATCTTAAAAACACATTATTAGTACAATTCGTACCCTCTGACATTTTCTTTTCCTTAAATGAAAGGGATTAATGGAAACTGTTACTAGCGTGTAAAATACAGAACAACACCTAAAATAAAAGGCGGGGGGGTGGGGTTTAAATACCTTTTGCTGAACTGCATTAATGATGTAAGTGAAGTAGTGTGGAGCAAAATCGAGGAACGACTGGACTTCCAGACGAGGCATCTGCTTCAAGATGAATCTATCATCTGTTTTAACATCAGAGGCCACAGAGTTATATACAGTAAGTGATGTATTCTTTGCAAGTTCTTCAGGACTGTTGCACAGCTAAAGGGGTTTGAAAAATTAAAGGACTACAATTTTCTTAAATCCTTCGCTACAGACACTCATTTCTAGGAATTTTTTTACTTCATATATTCTGAATTTCAGAATTTAAGCCTTTCTGAATTTCAGCTTTCTAGCAAATCAGTGAGTAACTTAGACTGCCTAAGTTAAATTTACCTCAGCTATATGGGCTTCTTATACAGACAAGAGAAACAGCCTACAGACCCTGCCATTCAAGACTTGTTTTAAGTAGGGGCCTAGAATCAGCTGCAGTTAAAACAACACCTTTCCTATAAATCAACTATAGCATATGGGATTATAAGAAACACTGTGTCTTTAATAACCAGTTTTCCTTGAATTATACTCAAGTTTTTGTTTTCTGAAGCCTGCCTAAGAGAGCACAACCCTCTGCTCAACTGGCCTCCCTAGCTGCTACTACTGAAAAACAGAACTACATTTTGTTCTCCATGCAAAGAGACAAATAATCTGATATTGAAGACCCCAGAACAATCCATTTAACTTTCCATTCCAAGTGGCCACTTCAGAGTCAGCAACCCTCTGGCTAGGGATAATCAGAGATTGAACGACACACTAACCACCACCATCCCCAAATAATACCCTCTTAAGTATGAAGGAAGAAGCTGCATTTACCCTCAGTCACATAGAACGCAGCCCCAGACTTGCCACCTCGTGCCTGCCAGGGCATAGAGTGAGAGAGGGATCGGATGAAGTCCTCTTCACTACTCCCCAGTATCACTTCACGCATCTTGTGAAACTCGCCAGCATAATAAATCCGGCAGTAGAACTTGGCATTCGCATCTGAAAACTCTGCACAAAAAAAAAAAAAAAGGTCTTCTTAACAGCATGCAATACTCACTGACTACCTGAGGTGACACTTAAAGATTTTACTAATATCTGGAAGAATATTATTGTGCTAAACATACCTCACTCACGCCTACTGTACTTGGGAAGCTGAAACCAATAGGATTTAAATTGAAAACTTACAGGAAAGTCAACCCCTTTTAGCTGGGAGCTCACAGTATATACCATAGGAAAGTGCCCAGACAAAAGATCAATTTAAAAAAAAAGTTTTATGGGGTATTTTTGCAATGGAGAGATTGATTATGTTAAGCAAAAATTGCATTGCTCTTGTTCTTGGTTTGTATTGGGCAGGAAGGAAAAACTAAGAAAAAATAATTATTAACTTGAAGATTTCCATTACGTTTGCACGAAGAAAGGAGTTTGTCAGCTAGGACTTCAATTTATTATTTACAGCTACTCACGGAGTTCCACATGGGGATTCACCAGCTGTTTCTTCTGTCCATCTCCTCCATCTATGTCATCTAAAGGCATAAAAGGGACCAGTCAGGGTTGTTCATTTCTATTACAAGTAGTATCTTAGATGGCTTTCTCACTAAACTCACATTAGAAGAAAAATATTTTCTTTTTTCAAGAATACAGAGGGAACTATACATAGGGAATTCGAGATACAGCTATAATTGTATGATATAATATGTATGCTAGAAGGGCAGTACTGTTCACAGGCAACATAAGTACAAGCTTCCTCTTTGTTTTCTCTTCATTCATTTTCCATGAGCTGAAACAATGAAAGTTAAATAGGAAGCGAGGAAAAGAGACTTATTATAGTCAACTCAATTCAAAGGCATTCAAGCCCAGACTACTAAATGTCCCTATAGTTGGCAGGGTTTGAAAGACCCTATTGCCCTTCTCTTAAAGCAAAGCAATGACTTTAGGAGAAACCTACATTTGATGCTCAAATCATTCGTTTTCAATGCATGTTGAGTAATCTTGGACTGCTGAAAAGGTATGAGCAGGCATGCACTCTGGGTCTTACTAGTATGATTGAGGTTTGGGAGAAATAAGAGTCCAAGACAGAAGATTGATTCAACAGTCTTGTACCTTGAGGCTCTGCTCCTTGGTTTTCTGCTCCCTCTTTGCCCATCTGTCCAACCTGGTAGTAGGCACTGTCAGCACCACGTAAGGTCTCTTTCTTCTGGGAAGACAGGTCCGGGCTCTTCCCTCCCGTGCCACGGAAGAAAGATAAAACACCAGATGGTTTCTTTGCTACAGTGAAAAGGAATAAAGAAGTTGGCGTTGGCATTTCCACAGGTAGTTTGATAAAAGCATGACTCATACGAGCATTGTCCATTCATTGTTCTAACTGCAGGAATCATGTCATTCAACTGTAACTCATTTGCTATTCTTCAGGCAATCAATATCCATCAGGTTAGCTGACTTTAGTGTTCTGAGTAGCATTCTGGAGTGCTGAGTCATTTGAAAACACAGACCAAGTGCAAGCATCTTTAAAAAAAGATGACAATTAAATTACTTTGAAATGGAGAAGTGAGGATCCTACTATGTTAAAGAAGGCAGTGCCAAAAGAGATCAGAACATATTATGGGCATTATACCCCACTGAACAAGCTAGACTCAAGAACAACCCAAGGTCTACTACATTATATTTAATCAGAGAATGATAGTCTGATCTCCTAAGAATCAGAGAAAGCCACCATGGGCACAGACTTCAAAAAACAAATACACCCCCCCTTCCAATGTTCTACATCAAGTCAACTCTAAGACTAGCCACAATTTCTTTGTTCTAACTTAACTTTCACAAGAGCTAGAACCCAGGTTAAGTGGACTCAAGTCTGAGGCAAAGCATATGGTTTTGCAAAATGGTCTTACGCTGTTCTTGTTCTGCACTGCGATTTGAAGGACCCATGTTAGCCTCAGGCAGGCGGACAGGGCTACTGCTCTTTGGTTTACTGTCTGACATGCTGAAATGAGAAAGAAAAAAATGTCATAAGCCCAACAAATACTGCTACCCAAGACATTATTGCTTTACTCCTGTGCATTTATTTCTCCTTCATTCCTAGCACTAACTACTACTAAGGGAAGAGGACAGAGTTTAAAGTTGTAGTGGTGTAGGACTCTCCAAAGTCGTCATCCTCCACCTCCCTGAGAAAAACCTCTCAGGGCTCCATAGCAACAGTTCCATACATCACCACAGGAAAGGTAAGCTGGCCCAGTAATCACCACCTAGTAATACACACACTCAAGGCATCCATTGATGGAGCCAGCACAGTCCCTGACATGAAATGGAAACTCAGGTACTGCAACTATGTGTTGGTTACATAGAATGTGTCAGATTCCATCAGAATGCAGAGACCCTAACAGAGGCATATTTTGAGGGTCCTTCCCCATCCTAGTTTTGCCTTATTCACTACAATCATTGTGCCTTCGCTCTGTGTACTGTAGTCCCTGCATGTAACCTGTTGGTTGTACCAAGACTGTAGTCCTTCTTCAGAACTGTTCTTCAGAGATGCTTTGGACAACTCATCCAGGGCATTTCTGTACTCTTTGCAACTGAAGGGGAAAGGAAAAAAAAAAAAATAAACCCACGGTAGAAAAACCTCTCTATTTTTTCTTACAATTAGAACTTAGTTCGCTTAGAAGAGAATCTGCTCTAGATCATACTGCAGGAAAAAAAGAAACACACCTGCGTTTCTCCCTCTTCCACAATTTAAGAATGCACTTCTTTAAAAGTCTGCTGCCTTGTCACACACAAACTCCAAGATTTATTGAAGCAACTGGTTTGGAGACCTGAGTAGTAGCAAGAGCTGCCACAACCGAAGGTAGGCAAGGGACAGACTGCAATATGAATACCGAACTGTTGATCCCTAGCTCAGTTGTATTTCCTCCAGAGTGGAGCGCTGAGCAAAATTTAGTTGCAGTTCTGTCTCTAGCAACATCACATTACAGGGAACACTAGACAACTAATTCATTTTTGTGTACTAGAGTTCAGCAAGAAAAGCCCAAAATCCAGTTGCAAGTTGGAAAACCTACTTTCCATATCTCAGTAGTAAAAAGAGAGAACTTCAGCTCTGGCAGAAACTCTCAACACAGCTAAGTGAAGAAATTCTGTCATGCTTGTTCCCTACTGTTAGGATTTAAATATTCCTAAAATAATAAAAAGCTGCAAAAGTACATAATGTGTCAGATGAACAGCAAAATCACACCAGTACCTGAGAGCAAAAGCTATGATGGAGCTTGGTTCTTTCTCACAGACTGCAATAGGTACACGTTCATGCTCATACATTAGGTAGTGCTTATCCGGGTCACTAAATGAAAACAATATAGGGAGAATGTTAGTAAATCATAAAAGTTTGTGGAAAGAAAAAGTTAAGTTTTGGTCAAAACCCAGATCTCATCACTGCACTCCCAGGCACAAGCTGCAAGTCTCAGCATGGAACCAAAGCTCCCCAGATCAGTTTCTGACACATCCATAGCTATGTGGTTAAATCTCAATGATAACATGTTAGGACAATCAACACTTCAAGCAAGCTGCTCATATCAGAAGACCAGCTCCAAGTTAAAGTGAGAGTCTATTTCTGTTTAGCAGCCACTGTTTCTAATGGCACCAAAACCTGCCCGAGTTTGTTTTGACTGTCCTGCAGCATAGCCTGCAGAGTGAAGTTACGGAACAAACCTGGAGTCTTTTATGAACAAGCAGTTTAGCACAGCAAATTCCCAAAAGCCTCCTGGGTTTCTGTAAAATTTTCTTTTACTTATCTGTAGGGTGCATTCATTTAGCTTTTACCTCATTAGCCCACGGCCTCCACTACTACCATGGGGGTAGGACTCAAAGGTTAAACTCAGGCTGCCAAACATTAGGCTCGTGTCAGACAAGAAACACTACAAAGCACGCAGACCAAGTAATTGAAAGACTTTCCAGCCTGCCCATTTTCACATGAGAGGGGGACTTGAGGGCACATGCAGTAGCCATTGAACCTGACCTACACCCAGACAACGCCAATTTGAGTCCAACCCTTAGAAGAGGTCTGGAAGCAAAAACAAGAGGCAGGCATGTAGCTTTAGTAAGTCTTTGCTAAGGAAGGACATTTCTGCTCCCTCCCTGCAGCAGTGAAGTTAGAAGGCACCTTCCTCCCACCCCTTCCCCTCCCACAAGAGTTCTGAGGAGGTATGCCTGATAGGAGGAAGAGAAACTGATAATGTATATGCACAAGGGTGGATCATTAATAAGAAAAGCGGGTAACCTACAAACACCTAGGAGGAACACTGAAAACTTTTTGCCTTGAAGAAATTCTATAGCTTATTCAGAGGCAAACCCAAGTGATAATTTAAATTATATACTGAGCAAAGGAAGCATGCGCAGCTCTGTTTGCAACTTAACCAGGCTGCTAATTTTGTGCATCATATGTATTATACAGTACTTACAAGGGAAATGGAATGGGGTTATAGTTGTTTCCAGGCAAAAAGTTAGCCAAAATAGCTTTCATAGTAGACTTCTCCTTCACTTGGCTGTCTGTAGATCCCAGTGAGTGTCCATCAAACACATCTGGAACAGAGATAAGTTAAGTCTGCATCACGATATCAAACTTCAGGCTGTAAATTCAGAAGGAAGGTTGCAGACCACAGAGTTAACAGATTTGCCATTTCCTAATCAGATTTCATACACTTGCCACAGAGAAGCAAGAGAGAGAATACAAGACCACAACTGAAATATACCTTCTGAGCTGCTTGTTGTATCCTGTTCAGACAGTGTGTTGGCACCAGTCACATGCTCTGACACAACCTCTGGAGGGGTGGGCAGCTGAAGATGCGTGGACCCTGTGGAGCTCTGACTTGATAAAGTAGTCAGGAAACGATCCTCTGAGAATACAAGGACAGTTAAGGACAGAAGAGAGCATTTTACATGGCTGTCAGAAGTGATGCTTGCTCCCAGGCCAAGCTACCACCAGGGTCTACTTTCAAGAAGTTTTTACGTGGAAAGCAGGCGAGGCCACCCAGAGCAAAGGAATGGGCAAGCTGATCACTGTAGCATATAACCTCCAGAAGCTGCGTAGGCTTATACCCATTACCTTTAGTTCCCACAAACTCTCAGTATGCCTTACAGGTAAGAGGTCTCAGCACCCATAACCACTTCATGGAAGAGTCAAGAGGCATTTCCCAAATTCCATGTAGTTATTCAGTTATTTAGAAAGCCTCTGAAAGTTTTTAAACTCAAGTTCAAAGGAAAACACTTGCCAGCCAATTTAGTGTCATTAGTAATTCAGCTTCATATTAGAAGCAGACTTTGGTTTTTATAATAGTAAGCTAAAAATAGTCTTATTCCCATCTGATACAATGGGGATTCACTGTCTCTCTATCAAATTTGATACAGGCTCCCATGTTACGTCAGGGAAAGGGTTACAGCAAGCTTCTTTTGGTAGCTTAAGAAAAATGAATAAACAAACAGACCTTTCTCTCCATTTTGCAGTGCTGGAGAAGCATTGCGTGGGGAAGCATCCATGCTACTGATCTAGGCAGAACAACAAAACACCAATGTTGATGCCAAGCTGTATCCCTTCCTCTGTGGAACACTTGCAAAAGCAGATGTACCACAACAGAACACTCCCACCCACTGCACTGCCACTGTATCTGCCACCACATGAAAAAAACCAAGGCAACAGCAACCCAACTTCACAAGATGCTTATGACTGCTATCATCTCTATATGCCATTTTAAAGACTACACTCTTTGTCTGTATAAACCTACTCGTTGCTAGATGAAGGTTAAGTGCATTTTAGCATCTAATGTGTTTTAAGTGGAAAGGACACATATGCATGCAGCAGAGTAAATCCAGGGTCTCATGGGGTTTCTTAGCGCACCTTGCTAATGTTAGAAATATGGGGAGTTCAGCCTCTCTGTATGATGCTTGTATCGTACTGCCTTGCAGTCCGGACATTTTCTGAGAGTACCAGCTCCCCAAAGGGTGGTTGTTCATGCTGGCAACTGTACCCTTAGACAGAGCTCTTGAGGCTGCAGTCCAAAATCATTCATACATCCCCTCAGCCAGTTCATACAGGATACATCACAGAACAGATAGGAACCTGCAAATTCATTAACGGTTCTTACTGTGTTCTTTGCTCTACTTTTCCTGATAAATTTTGCCGTTTCTTTTTTGCAAGGGCAACAACCTAGGGTCTAATGAGGTGACTTCCTTCCTGTCTAGGCATACACCTGACAATAACCGCAGCTCTCCACTGTCAGTATTCAAATTAACACTACACAAACACCACAGAAAATAATCAAATCTTGTTCATACTTAGTCTTCTTATGAGTAATATGGCTCTCAGTCCACATCTTTAGGAAAAGATGCAATTCAAGCTTTTACAGCTGAAAACTACGTGATGCAGTAAAACAAGTTTACTAAGGGAACTGAAGCCAGTCTTAAGACTACTGTGTTGCCCCAGGAGGAAGCAAAAAAAAAAAAAAAAGGTAGCTTCTAGCCTGCTGCTCATACCTTGCTTTCTTCACCTTGCCTCAGTCTCCCAGGGCTGGGTGGTACTGACGGGCGTTTTCTCCCTTTCTCTTGTTGAAAGAGATCCTGCAATCTTAAAAAGCAAACAAACAAAACACACACACAAAAAAGAAAAAATAATCAAAAGATAGGTTACAGGTATTAAGTGTTAAAGGCACAGGTTACAGAGTTTCTCCATACTAGAATACAGCCAAGCATACCTTCACACGTCCTGAGTGCAAACTCAGATGGTTGCTAACACATGCCAAGGTTATGTTTCAAATGGCCAAAACCAGAACATTTTCTTCACCTCTGAGACAATTTCACTCAATTAATTGCTTTCCTATGCTCCCTACTTCCACCTTTATTCAAATGACACTCTCTCCTCTCAGATGCAAGCTGGCCTCTACAGCATAATACTATTATCTGGCCTCAGATGATTTTCTACTCCAATCAACCAGCTCTGTGGTCTTAACCAGTAGCGGACATTCATGACAAGCTACCATAAGACACTCTATATAGCAACAGCACTACAGGGAGAGAAAGTACAAAAGAACCTCTTCCTTTCTATAATCAACACAGTAACAGTGTTGTTCATGATTCCAACATGTGTCCTCTTACCTATTATTCCAGGCTTGCAGCGTCTCACAAAGTCCTTGCTTTTTAGCTATCAGAGACTCAAAAACAGATTGCAGCTGTTGAGGTGTGTCTAATGATGATGAAAGCAGCCTTGCTTGGATTTTCTCAGTCCAGTTTCGAAACTCCCCCTCTTCCATCTGTCAAAAGAAAAACTGTCAGGATTCTGTGACCAGAGATGACACTAGAGCTGATTGGCTTCTCCACACACTTTGCAGCCTGGGGTCTGCTGATGCAGAAATAGTCCATTACCTCCTTTTGGGCAAAGAGGTCTTCCATCTTCTCTTCTCTCGTTTTGCTGAAAGTATCCGTTTTCAGAGAAGCAAGACGATCATCAACAGCAAGATACACTTGTGACACCCTGCGAACAGGGATGCAAAGAGTTAAGCTGTGACTACTTAGAACATCTTCAACATTCTTTAATAAAAGTCTGAACAAGTTTAATGTTAGCATTTAAGAATACAAAAGACAGTTGTCTGCACAGTAGGCTGTTCCACTGAATTTACAGGGAAAGTTGGAAAAAATTCATTAGCATAGCAGAAACCCAGAAGTTACACACACCGACGCTTCTCTTCACAACTTATTCTTAGCAGGGGAAGTTGTCAGAGAGCAATACAAAGGTCACAAACACGTTATTAGCAGAGGGGAACTGTTGTGTCATTTGTGCCTGGGAAGAATCTGGGACTGCAAGCTACACCTCCACCAGAAGGGCTCAGAGAGAGTGAGTAACTATTTCAGCTCTAAACAAAGCTTCACAGGTTCTGAAGTCAGGCAGTCACAGAGACATCAGCCATCCAGGAATGCTGCCACCAGGCAGAACAGCAGTTAGGCTGGATTTAATACAGTTTCTATCATACCTGTCTCCCACTTTTTTGTTCCTACATTTAGAAGGTGTCTAGGCTCACAGTAGTTTACCTTAGACTGCAAGAAGGTACCAGACTGTCTGCTGTTACTATATTCAATAGCTAACAAAGGCAATGTGGCTTAGCTGCCACATGACCAATATAATGAAAACAGTTTTGTTTGGACAATAGGTTTGAGCAATGCCTTTGCAGTTTTTGTGGGCTGAAGGCAGAATTTAATCTTGGACAGATCTTCCAAAAAGGAATGTTGGGGTAAGGGTACAAAGTGTTACCTGCAATTTTCACATTAAGCCTCCTAGGACCACCTCCTCTGTTCCATTTTTAGTATTAGCGGGAGAAATTAGAAATACTTCAGCTGTGCTTGAGAAGGCATTTTGTAAGAAAAGGTGACATTTCAGACACCAGCTGATGGTCAACCTTGCAGTGGCTATTTGGCAACATCGTTCAGAAACATGCTGTATCACTCTACTACCAGTGCAACATTCAGTGATGGAGAAGAGAATACTCTTCATATCTACTGGCTGTGTTTAAGCTGAATTACCACCACATGAAAAGGCAAGGGATTAGTACAGAGAGAGCAGGTAAAGGTAATAAAGAAGATTCCAATACCACCCTCCGTTAGAGGTATATGCACATATAAATGTGTTTAAAAACATTACTTTTCTATTAAATAATGAATATTTAGCAAGTCTTATCTATACTAGAAAAAAATAGTTTTCTGTTCTGTTAATAAAAGTCTAAAATACAAATAAGGTGAGGAAGGCATTAAAAACAAAGCTTACTTTTGAGAGAAATCCTTCAGATCCTGCAAAATAGTAACCTTTGACGGAGCCTGCCTTTTGATGTATATTTTGGGGAGTGGGACACACACTTCAAGCAGACGGATTGGAGAGTAGCTGAGAAAGCAATACGACAGCTGTTAACAAGACTCTCCCCACATAGTACTAATTCTACACCACATTGCGGTTTGCGGCCCTTCTATGAAGGGGGTCACTGTCAATGTGTCCCAGGCTTTAGTTACTTTTAGTAGCAGTAACACCCTGTTCCTTTATCTTGTATGCAAAAATTAAAACCACAGGTCATGTTCCAAAAACAAATTCCAAAAGTTTTTGAGATTAGACAGGGAATAATGTTCCCCTACTGTATCATGAACTGGAGCCATCCATTCTTAGGAACACTGCCCACCCCATCCAGCACAGTGATGGCACCCACCATGCCCTCTGCAAGCCAGCACACAATCCTGCACTTGTGGTTTTACTGTCCTTTTGCTATCCCATGCTGTACTCAAAGTGAAGGACAGACCTGATGAATCCTTCCTTACAAGAGCTATATGCTTCGCATAGTACTACAGAGAGAGAAGGAAGTTTTTAGCAGTGGACCTCACCTGAAAGATGCCACCATCTGATTATAGGAAAAATACTGGTGATAGTCATGGTGAATGGAATGACCACAAGGCTCTGCATTGGCCCTTCGAGTGTACTGGTGCCCATAGAATCTCAGCTCAAGGTATTTTGCAAAAGACATAGACCAAGAATCATTGGAAAGGGGAACAACTGGTGTCACCTGGAAAATTGAAAGCCAAGTGTCTTAATTTCATCCTTCAACCAAGATTAAGGACAGGCTAACCTAGATAGCAATCTAGTATTTCTAGTACCAGAAACCATGACCCTGAAACAACAACAAAGATAGCATTTACTCAAAGCTAAGGCTAACACATAGTTACAATAAATCGGGTGGACAACAGCTGCTAGTTGATGATGACAGATGCAAAGTTGGGGGACTGCAAACATATCTTTGATGGAAGCTTATATCTGGGATGTTATTTCTTTGCACAGAGACAATTTCCAGCAACCCAGTCAGCAGCAGTGGTTTCATCATGTACTTTTTTCTTGGTGATCTTCAGCTACAAATACAGTGGTATTGCTCTGCAGTGTATTTCGACTTCAGCAGTGCTTGTAAGCTTAGAGTAGCCACTGCTTTATGCATACTTCATAGCCACAAACTTATTAATGTTTACGTGAGCACACAGAAATAAAAGGTTATAGAACAGGTGTATACACAGCAGCATAGGGCTTGCCTTCACTAGTTACATTAACTTCCTCCAGGTATCTTTAAATCCAACACCCATGTTTAAGCCAGTATAAGTAGGTGAATTGAGTCATCCATATGGCTAATTGACATGTTCAGCGTTTCAGGCACTGCATGAATCTTTTTTTAATTAAGTTTTATTCTCGTGTCTTTGTAGGCTCTTAAGTTTTGCACTGTTTAGCTAGAAATGAGTAGCCAACTGGTAATGTTTTCTTAGCTAAGTTACAGAACAAGTTTCAGATAATACACAATATTCCTATCTTGCGTTTTTTAAAGCATTTCATCATTCCTCTAATGAAGATTTTACTTACTTTCTAATGACTACTAAAGGAATTCCAGACATGACGTTGACATAATGCAGATTGTCCAGTCCATAGCAGATCAAAGAATATGAAGTGGTTTTAGCCAATTACTAAGCCAGTAGGTCTCAGTGTCTACACTTCCCCATACATATGTAGATTCTTTTGATGCTCGTACTAATTCACTGCAGGGAAGGGAACCACAGTCCTCACCTCTAAGACGGCAACTCCATTTTTTCCAGAAATTAGTTTCCAGCAATATATCAACTTCACTTAAATCTATCCTCTCAGAGCCAGCTTTGACACTTTCCAACAGGGCTACCTCACACAAGATGTTTCACCCTCAACAGCCCCAATTCTACACGAGAAATTCATAGATACATGAGAAGATCTGTATCAATAACATGTTTTGTGCTAGTTCAGCCATAGCTCCAGGCAGGGGTGAGCACTTTCTCAAAAATGCTGCCTTTCCGTACTAGGTCAGTCACAACAGGAATACTAAATTGGAATAGCAACAATTCGTAAATCCACATCCTTACCTGTTTGCACAGTCTACACCAGGAGTAAGTAAGAATCGTGTGCTGGTAGCCAGGGACCGGGGAGTCCAGCTCCTTTAACACAATTTGCACACAGCCTTGCCCATGAACAAAGCGACGAATGTGGTGCACCATTGGTGTTTCACAGAACATGCTGGGGCATTGGTAGGAAGGCCTTATAAAGAGAAATGGAAACACTTATGAATCACCATTGCTAGGCACTGCTGAAGAATTGATGCAACATACCTAATATGCCTTTTAATATCACTGAACTATTTATCTCTACTGTAAAAGTTTCCTAAGCTATTAGAGAAGGCTGTTTCTGCAGAATGAATTGTACTCATTTAGAAATAGCATGTAGAGAAGCTCCCTTGCCAGCAATGGCTCTATAGGTCCCAAAAGCAGTGACTGGATACCGGTTACTATCACAATCTTTTTACAATGAATCACTTTCTACCAACATACTCCATTCAGTCTGCAAAAGACAGATCAAGCACCTGGAAGTGCCTGGCACCAAATTAGAAGACCATTTTGGCAGTGTACCAAAGCAAAGGCTACTGAAGACAAAGATGTGCCAAAGAGCCTTCAAAATGGTAACGGTTTGGCTCCTGAAGGAAGAGGTGAGCAAAATAGTATCATATAACCTCATTGAACAGAAAAAAAATGTGACCTTTCTTTGGATGATTTCTTTTAAGTCAGGGAAGAGAGACTGACATCAAAAATAAAATAAAAGTACCAAAGTGAAATACGAAATTCTGCAAAAACAGAAAAAGCCTAAAAAAACTCAGATCCTCCTTGCTCATACGGAGAGAAAAAAAAAGAAGAATTTTAATTACTGAAACTATGGAGATTGAGTAGCACGCATTTTAGCACACATTAGCTAGTCACCAGAGAGAAACAAGAACTTAACTGGGCTGCTAAGCTCCTCCTCCTCATTGATCAGCACAAGGAGGAATACTTGTTCCTCCAGAGAAAGCTGAACATTAACAGCATTTTGCTACTGCAAGTGGCCAATGGAGAGAAGAAAGTAATCTCATCTTTTGAGGAGCCACAGGCTACCTATCCAGCTTCACAGCCTGCTCAGACTCTGTATGGGGTTCTGGCAGTACTGATTATTACTGAAACATAACAACTTGCACCTCTGTCAGATTAAATGAATTACACAGTACTTTGCCAGGGCTAAAAGTGTTCTGGACCATTTACATTAGCCACCTTGCAGATATGACAAAGCCTTACACTGAGAAATTCACGTAACACTAAAGGAGTAGGATTTTTTTTCCCAGAACGCATATGAAAGTTCAAATAGGAACATCAGAAAATTGTGATCAGTTCAGTTGCTTGTCTTGGGAAAAAAAAAAAATTTGGAATACATGCTCAGAGTCTTAAACAGGCCCTTAGAGCCCTAATCTCTACAAGAAAGTGCTAAGTGAAGACATTTGTCTTTACGAACTTGTCAGTCTTGTTTCGTAATCTGTTCCACTTCCTCATTAAAAGAAATAAGAGGGACAGGGCTGAAGTGGGAAAGCAGTGGATGTATTTGCTTGTAAGCAGTGAGCATGAGTAAGTGAATTCTTGAATCCAATTCCTGTTTCACTACAGCACGTTAATAAAGCAAAGGGAGCAACAGATTTAAGTGGTAAGCTTTATTATGACACAACCAGCTCTGCAGACTTGCATGCTACTCTAAGTGCACAGGAAGTAGCGTCTATGAAGAGGGTGGCAGGTCAACTTCAGAGGTACCAAAAGCTTTTGTTTTTTTAAAGTGAGATTTAGATCAAGTTCCTCCTCACCTGAAACAGTAGCGCTCCAGAAAAATCCCTAGGGTCAGGTCATTTTTCCCATAGAACTCCATGGTCACAATCCTAAAGCAGACAAAGAAGAGCTTTAGAGTGTGGATGCTGCCACTGTTAGCTGTGCAATGGCCTTCAGGTGCACAGATCTGCACCCACTCCTGGATTGTTTTAAGCCTTGTATACCTTCAAAGGCTTTTTTTCCTCTCTTAACTACCCTTCCTAGATCCCTACTGTGAAGTTTGCTAATAATGAGATCAGAGTCCTACTAGAACAACTTTAAACTTGATATTTAAAAGTTGAATACAATTCGACCACACTTTTGAAGATCATGTTCAAGAATACCTAGGCACAGAGGTCTAGACAGCTTGAAGCCTCAAAACATTAACATTTAAACAGTTTCAAAAAGGGCACATCCAGAAGATTAAAAAAGCCTTAAGAAAACCTCATTCTTCTAGAAGATTTAATAGCAATTTTTGATTTTCAGAACCTGAGGGGGACCAAGCCACTTAAAATGTGTAAGTATCAGTTTAAGTGTCACAATTCAGACCTCTCCAATATCAGTAATTTACATCCTCGTATTGTTGCTCTTTAGTGAGCTTATCACCACCTTCTTTGGTTCATTCCTAAGCTTTTACAGGAACTCTAGACCTTTCCCTGTAAGATAACCATCTCCATGTTCTCACCTGAGCTACATGATGAAACACCACCACCTGTCCTGTTTAGGAGAACTAAACATGTGTCATAAGTTGCACACAATTAACAAAGTACATCTCCCTAAGCTGAAAATACAGTTAAAGCTCTTACCTTTCTCATATTGTAGTCAGTGGCATTAACAATATATTCAAATGCCACTCTCAGATAATACAGTCTAGAAGTACTCAGTCTCCCTCAAGGCTTGTTTTCAGGCTTGGGCATTCTGTGTCTATATACACTAACTTTTCCCCACAAGACTGTATGCAGTGCCCTCCTCACACATTCCTCTGCAGTGAAAGGTCCAACTAAAGCAGTCAGTTTTAGGCTGGGTTTTCTCACTCATGCCTTGGGGACTACAAAAGCTATCGGATACAGCTCTGGATCCACCTGACCAAGCAAGACAAAATTCTTTCAGCAACAGTTCCTGTTACAGGATGGGCACAACCTACCAAGGAGTCCTCAAAGAAATACCACTATGAGGTGAGCATTGACCTTGACTTCGAGAAAAAAGATAGCAACTATACAAGCTGTAGAGGAGTAGTTTTCATACCAGGGGCTAACACAGGCACTTGGAGCATTGCTGGACTGAGCAGAAGAGCTACTGAAGAGAACACAGAGCCTCTGATGGTTTACTGGACTCAAGCAATCCACCTGGTAGAGAGAAAACAACTCATTTACTGGTTACAGACACTTCTATCCACACACAACTCCTGATGACAAAATTCTATTCCAGTAGTTTTATTTACAGATGAATCTCTTCTTGCTCCTTTTGTACAGATTAACCTTGCATTATCTCTGAACTTCAGGCAGACTTGTAGCATGTGTAACTGCTAACTGCCATTTTTAGAACAGCAAAACTGATGTGCATAATGAAACCAATGCACACGCATGTGTTTCTGGGGAAAGAAAGCTAAGGGAAACCAAACAACAAAAACCCTGAGACATCTGGAGTCTCCAAAGCACTGTACAGTTTAGGACACCTTGGAGTCAAAACTCTGCCAATATATATACCTCAATTACTCATTCAGGCTATAGAAAGACTTCCTACTTTCTGCCCTCTGTGAGGAGGTTTACCATGCTGCTGCTGGAATGGAGAGGATTCCCCTTCCACACCCTACAGAACTATGAAGTTGCCAAACACTTTTCACCAAATAAATTTAAAACAGCATCAACCTGTCTGATCCAGAGCAAGGACTACAGTTTACAGGATCATGGCCTGTGAAGCTACACAGATTTACACTGAAGGACCAGTTAAAAAGTGACTTCTGCTCATCAACTTGGGGGCTAATTGGCTCAGGGACCAAAATGTTTGACTATTTCAAGAGGTCAGTTCTGCTACTCTTGTTCATAGACTTTTTTCCTGAACAGCTTCCAGTTCAAGAAAGTCTCAAGATCCTTTTCCTCAGATACAAGTTAGTTACTTTCATGGCAGTTTCCCACAACTTTAAATATTTTGATTACAAGCACACACAACCTTGCTTTGAATTTTCAAAGAAGATTTCCCCCCCTCCCATTATGAGATAGTCACATTTCTTCAGATCACCCAAACTTTTACAAATAGTCAAATACTTTGATGTAATTAAAGCCTACTGCTGTTTCCATGACATTAAGACCTCTGAAGATGAAAATATTACACGTTTAGAAATCACCAATACAAGCAGCAAGAAAGCTCAGTTTTAGAAAATACTTCTTTAAGTTTGCTCCCCCTTCATGTATTCATTTTCAGAAATCAGTCATGTACAGCTGAGCTGAACAATCAGTGTAATACACTGATTTTTGACTGACTTTGTACATTTCTTAGAAAGTCAAGTCTCACAACCTTTTCCCTTCTCAGGGAAATTTTGCAGTCAGACTCTTGTTCTGCTTTCTTATATCCACACAATCCCTGGTTATATTGACTTCGTTAAGTGCCCAGCACTGCAATCTAAAATGCAGTTTTGACCTAGTCAAAAAACAATGCTAAGAAACCACAAAAAAACCCACACAACTCTGGTTTAACATGTAATATGAGACACTGCACCTTCTGTGTTACCAGGAGAAACTGATGTAACCTGGGTTTTCAGTAACATAGCTTTGAACCTTACCTTATGAGACCATGAGGATTCACTCTGAGTCAGTCCCTTCTCATCCTCTTCAATTCTGCACCCAGTTTTTCCAGTATGAACACTAGACACATCCTTACTTTGGGCAAAGGGATCTGTGCTTTTCTGCAGTATCCTCCCTCCCCTGGCCCGATAGTCAGCCAACATTCTGGCTAAGCTCTGGCTATCACCTAGATGTTCTGCTATTCTAGTATTAACCAACTCATGAGAAGGTAAGATTTGGACAGCCTTGGCTTGGATACTCCCATTCATCCCTTGTAGTCCAGAGAGATCCCGCAATAATTGCCTCTTCCTTCTGCTCTCCAACTCTTTGTATTCCTTATTGAGGAGAGGAGACCAATAAACTTGCTCAGGGAAGTATTCCCGGGCAGGGCACCTCATGCCTTTTTCAGTCAAAAGAAATGGTTCACGAAACGTCATTACAGGAGAAATACAGAGAATGACATCTTTCAACTCCTGCTTAAATGCTGCAGAGTAAGTCTTAAGACGATCCTCAGAAGAAGTTACCTCTTCTGTGACATATAAACCAGTATCATCCTGGAGAGGGTCTCTGAAGACTCTCATCTGACTCTTAGATTCCTGCAGATCGTCTGCCTGTTGAAGAGGCTCTAGTGTCTGACTATCCAGAGTGACAAAGTGCTGGTCCATGCCATGGAGGGGCAGCAGAGATGTTTCAGGTATTGCAGGAGGTACAGAGTTGAACACTGGAAATGGTGACTCCACTTTGTGGTGCTCTTGCTGTTTTGAGGATGCCATTTCCAGTTGGCTGTTCTCTTGGTCACCTCTCTCAAACAAACCTCTTTGTTCAAGCAAGCTGACCTCATCAAACGAAACCGACTCGGAGATTACAGGCAGCTTTTCACAGGATAATTCAATGTCTCTGACTGTTGTGCCGAAATCCTCGCCATTGAAGAGGTTCTGTTGCTCGTTTTCATCTCCTGGCTCCTCAATTAGAGAGTGAAAGGAGGTATTTTTGGTCAGAGTAGGGGGCATGGCAAACTCATCCATAAGGAAAGAGATTTCCAGCTGGGAATGATAAGCCACACAGACCATGAAGATCAGGATCTCCTTCACACGGGCCAGCTCGTACTCCGCAGCACCACACAACTTAATAGTGCAACCCAGGTGCTGGGGACACCCTTCAAAGAACATCAGGGTTTTTGTCTGATCTAGAAGATAAAAAAAACAAATCATAGGAGTTAGGATGGCAACTACAGTTAACCTGCTCTTAGGTGTCTCCCACACTGAAGAGGCTGTAACAAAGAGTAAGAGCAAGCAACAGTGGTAGCACAATCCAGCTACAGAAATTCACATCACTGTACTGAAGTAACTTATTTTTGCCAGCAAAACAAGCATTTGCTGTAAAACTTCTCCTGTTTTGTAAAACAAGTCATCATAAAGCCACATGGAACACACTGGAGTAAACAGTATATTCTAAGACCACTGCAGACTGCAGCAGTGAAGCAAAAGAACCACTACCCTCCCAGGCACATTTACTCATCCTTTCAAGTCAAAAGCCTACAAGATTTTGAGTGCAATTTAAGGACCAGAATGGGAGCAAAGACTGCATCTCTACAAAGATTTGCATCCACAGCATTTATGTATGCCAGCACCACTGGAGACCTGTCAAGCAGCATTTCTTCCTTCTTCCTTTGCAGACTTCTACTGCCTAAAAGAGGTTACAGAGAAAAAGGAAGCAAATTTATCAAAGGTGTACAAATTGCAAACAAGGCCAATTTTGGTTGGATATGTTAAGATTGGACCAGATGATCTTTCGAGGTCCCTTCCAACTCTGGCTGTTCTGTGATTCTCTGCTTCTATGCAGAAAAAGTGTTTATGCTGAGGATGGTTAAGCAACTGAACAGGTGCCCAGACAGGCTATGAAATCTCCATTCTGCAATAATTTGAACAGCTGGCGGACAAAGCCCTGAGATATCTGATCCTGCATTGAAATTAATCCTTCCTGTTTTGAACAGGAAGTAGGACTAGAAAAACTCCAGCGTGGCGGAAAGAGAAAAAACAGTCTGGAAGGAAGAAGCCAGCCTAATTAAAATCTAGTGTGTCTCATCTTAGTAAGATCATGCTTTTGTGTCCATAGCCAGTTCACTGTAGTTCCAAGGGGTAACAGAAGAAAAGTGAGTAGGAAGGATAATACTTGATCACACAAGGCACTCAACAGTTCAGATCTAGTTAAGAGCAGCAAAGCATTTATCCTTTCACACACACAAGCTAAGACATATCAAGCTTTACTCACCATTGGGCAACTGAAAAACTTGCATATAGAATTTATGACAGGTTCCCAAACGTGGTTTGGTCAACAGTTGATCCATTGACATCACTAAGTCTCCCTGGGTCATTCGACTTACCCGGTCTAATACTTGCTGTAAAAATGGAAAGAACGGTAAGAACCTACAGTACAAAGAGGACACTAGCATCCTTAGCTTGCTCTTAAAAAAAAGGGAAAAGGAAAAAAATGCTAGCATGATCCAGGAAACCTCTCACTGAGACGTAAACTCTGGGTTAAACTCAGTCACACAAACATACACCCACAATATACAAAAACCTTAGAAAAGAAGTTGGGTAAATATTTCTGGTGAGATGTAAGATTTTGCCCTTCCTTGGAGATACCTGGATCTGTTCAAGGGAAAAAAGTTCCAGGAGATACAGTACAGTCAGCATAGTGCTGGCTATCAGGCGCTCAGCCAACTCCCATAGCCACTCTCTGTTTGGCTGTCTGTACCCTGCCTCACGGGGACAGAGAGGCTCTCTGGGGATCACGAAGGACCCATGTGGATTTGCTACAAATAAGAGTCAGAGTTAACTAGAACCAAGCCAGGGTACAAGGACCTACCAAGGAAGGACACAGCAGAATAGCTGTGAAGAGCTGAGGAAGAGTTACTCTCTAGGTTTGCCTGTCTTGCCTTCTTGGAAGAGAAGTACCATTAAAAAATAGTCCAGGTTTGGTTAGAGGAGAAATTAAGACAATTTGCTTTTTCCAGGGAGCTTGCTACAAGGAGCAATTACAAGGCCCAGTCTGACTCTGACAGGAAATGCTCACCGGCTTGACATTGATGACCAGAGTGATACCATGCTCTAAGAGCATGTCCTGGGCAATTCGGGACACAGTCTTCTCAACAAGGACCAAATTAGGCCTGACATCAACTATCCGTTGTACGTAGTTCTTCAAGAACTCCCTTTCCTGCAGGCAGGAACAAAGTAGCGCAGTTAACTACTGCAAATCTGAAAAAACACTTAAATGCTTAATATTACTTTCTCTCTCATTTATATACTGACCTTTCCTATGAAACAGGGAAACCAGATATCCAGAAAGCACCATCAGTTGCCCATTGTGCACATTTCCCCACCCCCAAAGCACAACATCTACTTTATCAGTAATTTGTCATATGCACTAATTGCACATGAGGATATAGTCCAATGACAGTCTGAAGTAAAAGACTTGCAGCAGAATCCAAACATACATATATATGCACCTTACATGGAAAAAGGTGCTAGAATTAGAGCATCCGAAACCAAAGCTGTTTGCAATACTGTGTTCTCCACCTTCAGATACATGCTAACGTAGAGTGCTGGCACTCCGAGATGCTTCCGTTCATGAAGAGTATGCCAGTGCTCTATACCTCTACAAGTCTATACGCTGAGCCTCAGTCCCTAAATCCGTACTTGGGGACAGTGTTTCTGGAGTGGGATCCCAAATTCTGTGCACAACAAAAATGCTCTTCTAACCATGCCCACTTTCTGGCCTCATCTCACTACCCTCCCTGCCCCCTTTTATTACCATGCACAGAAAGAGGCAGCAGGGCTGCAACTCTGTCAGAACTAAAGGCCTACGCTGCTAGAGGGAGGATACAGCTTCCCAAGCCCAGTATTCTCAGTTTTGTTATTGCAGCTCACATCTGTCACATTTTAAAAGATCTGTGCAAGAGAAAGATACCACAAAAGCGGTCTGCCAGCTCCTCAGAACACAAACATTCATGTCAGCATAGCAAAGATAAAGCTTTTGCTAGAAGCTAACCTTTTTCAATTGAACTAGTATTTCTGTAGTATTTTCTGTTCTATATGACTTTAATGCAGATACACAAATAGTTACAATCACATTCTGAAGCAGACACTGAAATGCTCAGAGAAAAATATTTAGAAAGTATAGTAGATACTTCCACTCCATTCAGACAAAGGACAGGTCTCTAGTTTTTTTACTAGAAAACCAACTCAGTAGGTAGAGACAAGTTTTATTGCCACAGCTTTCATACCTGTAATCCTGTCTATTAATCACCAGAGTGGTCTTAAATGTGTGCTAAGGAAATAGTTAAATACGAAACAAACATGATGGCCCAAGCTCAATATGGCACCAAATACCCTTGTCACAAGTAACCTGATAAACACCTGAAGTCCAATTCTCAGACAGGAATGCAGTGTGTTAAAGAAGAGGTCTAACTGTTTCAGTGTTTTCATACTTAGGGCACCTCCCTGCTCACAGGGGCAGGGCACCTGTTCCAGAGTGGCATTTTTTCATTCATCACTCCATTAGGTTGGTTGTTGCCCCATTTGTTCAAGCCTGACAAGAAATAATATGAGTGCAACCTAACACCCACCTACACTAACTTGTCTAATATTTCTTTGTGCACCTAAACCATATCTAGCTCAGACCTTCTGAACCATATGTTCCTTATACAATGTATTATTAAAAACAAAAAGTGTTTTCTAAAATGCTGCATTTAATTGTGAGGATAAGATCGCTCTCAGTATGTGTAACTTGAGGACAAAAATCCTCAGCACAAGACTACTGTACTGTATGTACTGCAGCTGTTTTCTTAGCCAGCTGCTAGAAGAGGAAATTTTTCTTTCTTATGCAATCCCACTCACCCATCTCCACGTTACACACTGAAGAGCAAAAAAATCAGATGCGCATCATTTTGTTTTAATCACTAAACCTCAGGCAATTTTAATGAAGAACAAAAGGATCCTCTCACCTGAAGTACTATAGGGTCTATGCAGGTAAACTTTGTTTCTTCTCGATAGAGGTACTCAATTGAGCACTTCAGCAGAAGAATTTTGGGATTTTTTAAGCAAGAGTTCATCTAAGAAAGACACAAAAATAGTAAAAACAAAAATACAAACACCTGGAAGGGAAAAAGCACACATGAAAGAAACAGACTTCCCACGACTGATTTTTTCGCCCCCTCCCCTAAATATGTCTCAGCTATTTGCCCCCGCACCCAACTAGACATTCTTCTTTCTTATGAAGATGTCACACCCAGTTGTTGGAATTTCACAGCTACTATCCAGTAATAGAGCAATGCTAGAGGTTCCTACAGTCACCTCCAGGAACCCCAAAATCTTGGTACACTTTGGAGCCTCCATCCAGACCACTTCTGTCTTGACCTCCTGCCTTATTTAAAGGCTCACTTTACTATACTGTCATAAGTCAGAACCCCAAATGCCTTTTTCTGGCTAAAACTTGTGGTAATTATTAGATGCTTTCTGGGGTGGTAGGGGTGGAAAGGATGTTTTTCTACACATGCATGAGGAAAGCTTCCCCCTCCTAGAATCTCTAGGCTTAAAGAAGAGAGCTTGGAAAAGAAATGCTTTAAAAAGCCATTCTTGTTTAGGGTCTCAAAGTACAGAAAGCTCACAAACGTCCTGAGTGGCGAGAGAAGCTTCACAACAGAACAAGGAAGTCACAGCACACTTGTTTCCTCAGCATACACTACAGCCAGTGCTTGATTAATCAAGCCTGCATTACCTTTTTGTGTGCAACATTCTTAGTGCAAACAAATCCATTCACCACCATGGAGTCAAATTTCTTTCCACCAGGGATCTAATAAAGCAAAGAACATTTTTAGAACATATAGTCATATGCTCCCGTAACTTCTAATGCAGTAAACCTAATACACAGAATAACTATTGTAGGTTATGTACAAGCTTTGATCAGATACAGTCCTGCTGGACACACAACACTTTTCCTTTAAAGCCTGGCAAACTAAGGACAACATGAAAACAAGTAATAAGTTCCAGGATCTCTACACTCCTACCAACAGATAGCTATTTGTTAAACCAGGTACACTCTGGAAGATAAGGGAACCTAACCTTCTATAGGCCATGGGGAGCATATACCTCTGCACATGCCACTTCCACTAACAACAAACGAGTTTTAAGGAAAGGAAAGAGAGAAGGGAAAAGAAAAAAGAAAAACAAGAGAATCAAACAAACCTCTACTTACTATTTGAACACATCAAATACTTGACTGGTGTGCCTACAGTCACAACCAATCACAGGAGTAATAAACAACATGAAACAGGTTTCTAAATAACATGTTTCAGAGGACGTTTCTGTTATCAGCACGTAGAAGCAGTAGACGGTTACAAAGAACTTCCACCTCTGAACATCTGCTCTTTCAACTGGAGTTTCAGGAGAGGCAGCAACAACCGATGTCATCTGAAGAGACGCCACAGAGGTACCACCAGAACCATAAGGCTCTCCTCATTAACTTACATGGCTTCCAAACAAAACAGGCCTCCTGAGGCAAATTTTGCCAAAGAAAAATAAGCCCAAGCCTTTGATCCCCAGTCACACTAGCTCCTTGGATGTTAGTTTCACATCAGACTCTCAGAAGAAACTCTGCATGCCACAACTCCAGCCTTACAGTTCGACAATGCCAACACTGGGCCATCTGGCAGAACTGGATACACCATGCCATAACAATTAAGTTTTCCTCTTGAAGAAAGTCATTGTACTTGGCATGGGAGGAGTTCAATCCTCCATAATGGATAGTTACAGGGCAACAGATTGCTACACAGAGTCCTGCAAGTTACTTAACCGGCATTCAGTACATCTCCAATCCAAGCACAAAACAAGCAGAAACCAAAAAAGGAAGCAAGTCATTACAGAGGTGTTCCTCTTTCCTACCTTCTACAGCCTACAGCCTGAAAGAAGAGGTCAGCTCCAGGCCATTAAAGTACCTTTCACAGGACGCAAGGTTCCTTCTGTGCAACTTCTTCTAGAACCCCACCTTATCCAAAGGCCATGTTGGCCAATTACACCACTGAACATGCTAGGGGCAGTGGGAAGGGGACTCTTCTCTTCCAACAAGGGGTGCTGCCAGCA